AATCCGTACGGATTACTTAAAAATAACTTGCCATTACAGTGCTCCTTCCACCTCTGCAATTATCTTTGTCTTAAAATCATTAAATGTACACAGAGCAGACACAGAGTCTGTGGTGGCAGAGCCATTATACAGCATTTCAATCAACTACAGTAAAAACCCGCGTATAAGAACATAGATTTTTCCAAGTTAGCCTCAATATGTTCTTATATAAATGGTGCTTACTGAAAAATGAGGCTCAAAAGGTTCTTAAATAGGTTCTTAATTGTTTATACTTTTAATATGTATAAGCTTATACTTGATTCAAATTGTGTTAAAATTTTCTTACAAGGACTGCAATTTTTGCTAATTAATACCCATGATGGGCTACAGTGTAAGTTTTTCAGTGCTTACCATACTGTATGATACAGTATGTATCCAAGGAAACAAAACAATATGCAAAAAGATGCGTGCCAAAAAAAGGTGCTGGCACATTCATCAGTATTGTTGAGCTCGTCTTTTTTATTTTACCTGTGTTTCTTTTTAAGTCTTCATCTGCATGGAAAATTAAGAATCTACTTTAAAATCTTAGCCTAAAATAGGTTCTTATGTAAAGGGGTCTAAATGGGAAATTTTAGCCTAACAGGTTCTTAAAATCTATGTTCTTATACGCGGGTTTTTACTGATCTGACAAATCTGTACATACAATAAAATGCTGAGCTCCCAACGCTAAAACAGTAATGTTTAACTTTAAGGTATTTTATCCAGGACAGTTTGTCCTGCATGCAATTTTTTCTTTCATAGTAAAATTTAGCCTACCCTGTACGGATTACATAGATTTTGAGCGGATTTGCTCATTTGTGAAAGAACAAATCCGTACGGATTAGTCCTCAAACTGGGGAAATTCGAGCCCTGCTCATAGGCTATGACCGGTGAAACGAAACGTCACGAATTCAATTTTTATCCTCCAATCAAAGGTCGGAGCAATTCCTCTGTTTCGACGCATATGTCTAAATAGACATGCGGCCGGTAGACCAGTAATTGTACCCTACTAATTGACACTGTTCTAGGGCCCAATTAGATACAATATTATGTAACCCAACGGGCAACAAGAGTAGGGTACCCCCAATAATCGGCTATAGACAAATGTGAATTTTTATGCAACTTGTTCTTAATTTTTGACCATGTGACATTGAAATTCCATGTGAGCCAACCAACAAATGTAACTTCTAGGGCACAATTCATTAGTCTATCTGACGGCATGTTACCAAAAACATAAATTTGTGCACCGGTCTAGTTATTGTCTAAATAATGTTAAGTTCGTGCATATAAATGCATTTTTGACTGCTCTGGCTCTGGGTCACTTGTGCGGGAAAGCTAGAAATTTAGTTCGTTGAAGGCTAGATACAATAATGTAACCCAAACACAGGATAGGGTTTGGGTTACATTTGTGTCTAGTCGAAGGCTGACAAGTGGCGTAGTTTATTACGTATGTTCTGTGTGTAATGTAACACTAGGCCCTATTCACTAACAGTGACACTAACACTAACAGTAACAGTAACACATAAACAACACACCTTATATTGTAGCTTAGATACAATAATGTAACCCAAACCCAGGAGGATAGGGTTACAAAGCGTCCCTATCCTTTTGTGTGGAGGAAATTCAGGGAACCCCTGAGTGAATCACTCAGGGCGGTTTGCTGGTGCGTTTTCAGAGACTAGAACTTCCAAACTGGGTTTATTCTCAACACAAACCTTTCTCCGCTATCTTGGAACTTACTATGTATCACAATACTCTGTATTAAACTAATATAACCTGTTACAAAAATTCGAAGTGACAAGCGGCGGATATTTCGAGCGCCATTTCTGTTGACCTGTGACGTACGCATTCCCAATGCGCATAGCGATCGGCAAACGCAGCGCCCTCCGATTGGTCGGTGAATCCGCTCTTCAAACCGAAGTACGTCACAGGTCAACAGAAATGGCGCTCGAAATATCTGCCGCTTGTCACTTCGAATTTTTGTAACAGGTTATATTAGTTTAATACAGAGTATTGTGATACATAGTAAGTTCCAAGATAGCGGAGAAAGGGTTTGTGTTGAGAATAAACCCAGTTTGGAAGTTCTAGTCTCTGAAAACGCACCAGCAAACCGCCCTGAGTGATTCACTCAGGGGTTCCCTGAATTTCCTCCACACAAAAGGATAGGGACGCTTTGTAACCCTATCCTCCTGGGTTTGGGTTACATCATTGTATCTAATTGTAGCTACATAATACGCAGAACAAGAACACCCACTTACGCATGTCTTCTTTCAAACCTAACGCAAACAACACAACACTGTCGACCAAACACAGTGTCACTGTCAGTGACAGAGAGAGAGAGAGAGAGGGAGAAAGAGAGAGAGAGAGAGAGAGAGGGAGAAAGAGAGAGAGAGAGAGAGAGAGGGAGGGAGAGAGAGAGAGAGAGGGAGAGAGAGAGAGATGAGACGAGAGCGGGAGAGGAGAGTATGTCAGAAGAGAGAGTCGTGAACGGGTGAATGATCGTGAATACACTGGGACAAAAGCCAACTGGCAATAAGCAGCAGGCTAAAAATAGGTACAGTAAGACATTAAAACAAATTGCTTGACGCTTTGGTATTCCGTTATATTATAAAATTAATTGCGAAGCACCGTTAACTAATTCCATGATAAATTTGTGGCAAAGTTACAAATAGTGTGATAGATGTATAACTTAGGATATGTGATAAATAGAAGACGTTCGAGAATTTTTTCCCGGAAGTTCTGCGATGCTTTTCGAAAGCAGAGTCTGTACTTCGAGCTATATGCGTAACAAACGTGGCGCCAGAATTCGAGGTGTTCGTTTGGGGTTAAGGCGAGCATAGACTTAAAATAAAGCGCTAGAATTTTTGGTAGTGATATTATATATGATTACAGGAGTTGATATCTATTATAGCTCGATAGATTCTAGAAATAATAATAATGTAACATAGTCTATCTATATTATTTCTATGGTTTAACAAAATTTTGTTCTAAGTTACCGATATTCAGTTCTATATTAGCGGCTTGGCGTAAAGGTGGCGTCACTATCGTCCCGCGGTGTATCCATTGAAATAACATAACGAGCGAAACATCTTGAACGGGTGGTTATTAATCTCTTCCCTGGGGGTAAAAGATTTAAACACTATGACCGAAGTAGAGAAGCGGCTGGTTTTATCACGGGCGAAAAAAGTTTAACAATCTATACGACGTGTAGTCAGCGGTGGCATGACAAACGACCAACTGTTCTAGACCCTGCTATGATCATATAGATAATTCTTTCTATCATGATATCCTATGCTGCTAATTAAAGGTCACAATTGGCGCATTACAAAAGACTAATTTCTCCTAGTACTCAGACTAGCAAATCTTGTGTCATGCATATACACTATTATGAAATAATCTAGTTTGCTCCATTTCACTATCGCGTTTGCCTTAAAC